ACGAAGCCCGCTCCGTCCCTCAGGTTCCCTGCGACACCGTGTGCGCTCTCTCTTCCTTGATTTACGCGGAGTCCCGTTCAGGCACTGATCCTCTCTCGCACTTGCCTCCTCTGCCTCAGTCACTGGTCCTCTCCTCTCCCACCAGTTCACCGACATACACATACACACACACGCACCAATCGACGGGTGCGCGCAGCAGCAGCAGCAGAAGAAGCAGCAGCGGAGCTCCAAATGCATGCGCACGCCCGTTGCGCGCACTGCAGCGCCGCCGCCGATGGATGGTGGCCTCAAGGCACTGAACCATTCTAGCAAATTGTTACACAAATAGGCACGCTAATAGTGCTTTGGCCCCCTACAGGCTCCAAACCCACAGATTGGACAACAGCTGGACGCGTTTGAGTACAAAACAAGCCGGAAAAGTTGCCTTTCAAAAGCCCTGCAATGTCCGATTTCTGCTACTTAACAGCAGGAAGCATGTTTTTAATTCAACTCCTGCGCTTTTATTGCTACATTTATGCATTGTTGACATGCAACAAGTACAACTAATGTTCAACTAATGTTCAAATAATTCCAAGCCTTAAATGCGTAAATGTAAGTTAAATGTCAAATCCACACAGTGGTCAAATGGAACTCTTTTATTCCAGCTGTTGTGGACATTAATTGCTTTGAGCACTTGCATGTCCTGATGCCATTTTCTCCCCCTGAGAGCAGGTTTGCACTAATAATCATACAGTAGCCTGTGGGATCAGCTAAGACTCTGCTGGATGTGGTCATGTGATTTTAAAAGCACATTTACTTTCAGTTCAGTCTGCTGCCAGCCAGGCCCTTCCTCTCTAACTGCATGTCACACACATGCATTATCGCAGGCTTAGCAGTGGAAGTCAACTGCAGCCACCGAGTCAAATACAGAGAGCAAGTGACGCAGTTACCACCGGGATAAGCCCGGTTTGGCAAAGAGACAGGCTTTCTGGTTTGAGTTGCCATCCAGTAGCTGGTTGAGTGAGATTAGCTGAAATTAGGCTGTGGAAGAGATATGAGGCAAGATGAAAAGGGGTTTATACTGTAGATGTGAAATCACTTGGGAATCAGCCAAAGTGCAGATCAGCATGAGAAGCAGAAAGAAATACCTTATAAAAGGGTCAAATGTATGATTCCTCTGCTCCCAGCGCTCTTTCATTTTCTTTAGTGCTCCATCACTCTCACTTATATGTGAAGTATGTCCTTGCTCTTCCTAACTGTTGAAAAGCGACGTCAAACTGAGAGAAAGAAGAGTTTACACGAAGCCAAAGTCATTTGTTGGATCTGATTCCCCAGTGTCGAAAAAGCACCAGCAATCCTCATCATCATTTTGATGGGAACAGGGGATTCTCGCCCACAACTGCCATCCCAGGGCCATGCTGGGAAGTATCGTAATTGTCTCTCATTTCAAAATGCCTCCAGATATGTCTGCATACGTCTTGAATCTCATTAAAATATTCTCTTAATTTCCCCCATGCATATTATCTGTAAAATACTCTGAGGGATTTTCATAAGTTCAAGGATACGGCGCCATAGAGACACAGAATAGCACTTTGCGAGTTGCTGAGCGTACGTCGCCATGGCTTTGTGTTGAAATGCAAAAACCCATTAGAGAAGACGTTGTCTCTGCCTCACTGGTATCGCCAATTATGGTGCCTATTACTGCAGCGGATCCTTGATGTCCTCTGCTCACTGAGATGCAAAACTTCATACATGGAAGAGCCGCTGTGCAGCAGAGGCAGAGTCATCTCTCGGCCCGTTCTCTCCACTGATTTGGTGTTATTCTTTATTCTCCTCAGAACAAACTGTATACAGCACCAACGAGCCAACCATGAAATGACCTGGACCCCAGCAGAGGTGATGATTAACTCATACAGACACAACACGGTTCAGCTGGCTCAGAGAAAACGTACATCAAAACACAGTAGTTTAACACAACATCCCAGACATGATATGCTCACTTTAAAAAAATAAAAACAGAGCTGGAAATGTGTTTCCAATGAGGTGTGTTGTGAATTTACAGCTTTGCCAAAGACAGACAGGCACATGATATCTTTGCTGTTCAGTCGGTCAGGATTCATTTTTCAATCAGTTGTTTTTCTGTCATTTTTTTCCCGGTATTGCAATCATAGTTTGGAATTAAACTCTTTATATCTTATCTCAATATCAGTCGTCTGTTCCAAAACTAATGAAGTGCTAATGAGCTGGGTTTATTTGCTGCAGCTAAACATGAGGTGTAATTGAGTAGCAGCCGCCCTGAGGATAAACAGTTGTTACATCAAAACAAAGATGATAGAACACAGTATCAGTCACAGCCTCCTCGAGATATGTTCCTGGCATGGACTGGAGAAACATATTTATACGTGCAGCCTGGAGGTTTGGCCAGAGGTGCAAAACAAATCAAATTACTGATGTGATTACTGCTGGGGGACAAGTTCATGAGTCAGATCTGTTTACATCAGAGGAGGATGCATTTCCAGTCGCAGTCTGCTGTGTAATTACATTAAGACTTCTCTATATTGAGTGGGAGCCGCCTTTACTGGCTGCCTAACCAGGTTAACGCACAGGGGGCACAAACATGACATGAATTTACTAAATACAGCACACTGACAACTTCTGGCTCCCCCCAGTGTTTCCATAGGTGACAAATAATTCCTGTCAATCCAAGTTTTTAATAGTTCAGTTGTGTGGTAGTTGTGTATTCCTTTTTTTTCATTACACATTCCCCACTGTCATTTCCAGCAACATCTGGTTATTTCTCACTATGATTCTAAGTAATTTCTAATCTGAAGTTGGCTCCATCTCATGTCTCCTCATGGAAAAGTAAAATGTGTCATCATTGCCAAAGAAATTGAAATGAAGATGATTATTTTAGCTGCCAGCTACAACGTTGGTCACTCTTACCAGAAATGTGTTCATGCACCAAAGGTAGCTTTTCATTTAAACCATGCGAATGTGATTTTGATAACCACGAATTTAGGGTTTACTTTCCACCCTTTGTGTCAACATTTGATAGAAACTAATGGATCGAAATTTTGAGGAGAAAAGCATGAGCTCAGTTTGAGGGTTAAAATAGTTATCAGGTTTAATGCTGGAATAAAAAGAAGAAAGTAGTCTTCTCAGTGTTAGGGATGTTTGCTGCATTAGGTCTAAACCACAGAGGATGTGAGAGGACCTGCCCTGTGATTTAGAGTTAATAAGTATTCCCCTAAGTATGAAAGCCATGCTCTTTGTGCTCTCTCATAAATTTAGATGTGCTATAAGCTGCTTGATAATTACTGGTTAGTCTTCTTGCTTACATATTAGATGCAACACTAAAGCCTTGCTTTCAATGGGAGCTGTGTAAGGTCAGCAAAACGCTGGGAGGTGGTCTGAGTGCAATAAGCAGAGTAAATGTATTTTGTAAACAAGAAAGTCCTCATCCCTATGTACAAGTCATCTTCACTCAGCTACTGTAGCAAAGCCGGGCTCCAAACACTAAAGGGAGACAGCTGGAATTTAACAATTCAATCAGCAGAGCCAGAAATGATTCACTTCATCACAAACTGATTGCCTTAATCATCCCATTTTTATTTGTGCTGAAACAGAATCTCTTTATTCTATGTTCAGTGGGCGTCCACTTCTTTTATGTGCAACGTAAACTGCTGTCAGAGTCCAGATAAAACAACGAATGGTCGACATCCTGCAGTGTTTCCACCGTTGACGCTGTTTGTTGTGTCCTCCGCTTCCTTCAGCCATCGCTGTGTTTTCATGCATGTAAGCAGTTGGTGGAGAGCTGTGTCAGTGCTCGGTGTTTATGCTGGAGGGAAACACGATCCATCACTGGCCGGAGCTGTTACCCAGGTGCCTGAGTGCAGCCTTGCACAGTCATCTCATCTCACCTTCCTCTCTTTTATGACAGGCAGCTCAGGGAAGAGCCTTCAAATTATATTCCCCTGAAAAATACATCTCCACCTTTACAACGTATATTTGAGTTAGAGCGAAAAAAATACACTCGCAGGGACCACCGGTGTGTCTGGATTTATTATGCTCCTGCTGTAATTCTACAAATCAAACTCTGCAAATCAAGCCAAGCACATTGGACGCTGAGCCAAGAAGGCGATAGTGAATATATTCCCACATGTCTATCAGGTTATTCTCAATTCATCAGGCGCCTTCTGCTCAGCCGTCTCTGATTTGCTTTAAACTTTATTATCATAATCTATGGATATTTAAAATGGTATCTGTGAAATTGTAGCTTGATTTATTAGGTACTTTGTGAGATAAAATTGCCCTCGACCCACTTTCTGCACGTCTTTTCACATATTTAAATTTGTGGTTATGCTTTGAAACAATACCTCAGGAACTATTAAAGATAAAAAAAAAACCCTGAAATATTAACTTAGCATATCTCATCATTGATTCAGAATCTCCAATATTGGAACAGTAGATCAAACAGTTTCTGGGTAAAAGCAGCTGCCATGAAAAGAAGTACATACATTAAAAAATAATAATAATGAAGCCAGTATTTTCTGAACTATGTGTAATTTGTTATTATTATTATTAATATTTTATGGGCATATTCTTTCATTTTTAAACCAAGTTATTTAGGCTAGCTATAATCTCAGTCAATGGCATAATGAGAAATCACAATGAAAATTCCAGGTTGTTATCTTTAATAGTTCCTGAGTTAATTTAAAAAAAAAAAAAAAAGCAATTGATATGTCAAACTAAAATTACAGAAATATCATACTAAATATTCATATTTTATATTATAAAAATTGCAGCCAAATCAGAGACGATCAAGCAGAAACTGTTGTAAAAATTTGATGATTTGAGATGGAATGGCTCTGTTGGAATAATTAAGCGAGCACAAGCTCCCAACTTAATATCTACTCCACATATCCCCTCTCTCTGAAATGATCCACAAGCTGCTAAGGAAGCAGCAGCTTTCCTCCGATCAAAATCACCTAATCTTCATATAATTAGGAGGCAGGATGCAGTGCGGTTCAGCGACGGGTTTTAATTACACTCTTGAACAGTCTTTACGCAGGACCAACAGGAGAACAGCGGAATTATATTCATCTGGGAGATATTTTATTTCAGGTCCTCTGGGAGTGATCAACATGTTGTTGTACAGTACTTGACCAGGTTAGACACTGAAAACAGACATCTGCAGTGCAGTACATGTAGCAGCATATGAAGATAATTCACCACCATAACAAATCAATGAGCAGCCATCTGTTTTTAAAGCAGGGCTTTCAGATACAACCTGCGTGATTTCAACAAACGCTATAGTACAGCAGAGCGGGGACTGAAACACAGCACTTCAAGGTAGAAAGGGTGAAAGAGGCTTTTGAGAAATGGCATCAAAGGGAAAGAGGGCACGCTAAAGACAGAGCAGAAAATGTGAATAGCCTGTGGGGAATCCATAAAGCCAAGCAATCAAGCACACGATGATAAAAGCTCTGGAAACAACTGAAGTTAAAATACTCCAAGGCTAAAATCATACATAAAAGACACATCTTTTTGACAGTGAGGCTCCATTTGCATCCTCATTTAAATTACATATTTACTATTCATATCAATCATTATTGTTAATCATGATATGTATATTAGAGTTACATATATAATACTGTAGTGCTTGCCATGGGCCCTTGTGTACCAATAGTAGTTTCATCAGTATATAGTTACATAATTTAAATGTGCAAATATTTGTCATCATAACTTAGAAATGTCACTTTTATTAGACGCTCAGATTGGCCTTAATTAGGTTACAAAAATACTATTTCCCTGTAATTACTTAACAATTCCGTTTTATAGTGCTACAGGCTGGTTACAGCTCAGCAAATATGACATTTCAATAGAACATAAAGCCCACCTATACATCTGACTGTGAGAGTAACAGGTTAAGAAATAGGTTTATGAGGATACAGTGGTTGTCATCTAAAAAAAAAAAAATCTTTTATAAGAAGGCAAATGGTTAAAAAGTGCTCACTTGGGGAGAACTGTTATTGCTACCATTTCTGGTTGCTGTAGGAAGGTGCTCGAGTTCTGCTTTTGAAAGGACTATTTTAGGAGACATGCTCTCATTCTCACTTATCTGTACGGTAATTTTGTGGCTACTGCCAGCAGCCAGTTAACGTGGTATAAAGACGGAAAATGGGGGAAACGGCTAAGTGGATGTATTTTGTAACCTCGAGAAATAGACGGGCCTACGTGTTTCCTGATTTCAGACTTTATTTCAAGCAGCTGTATATATCACACAACAGCCTGATTGAGCTTGAAAGAAGAGGAATAAGCACCTTGCCCCAAAACGTCAAACTATTCCTGTTGATGCATTAGCCAGGGAGTTGACCAATCCACAAGTCATATAAAACATACTATTTGACTGCAACTATGCTGAGATGAGTGCTACAGAGCAACGGCAACTAGATTCACTTTGGTGGTGAAAGTAGTTAATGTGCCGACTGCCGAAGCTGTTGGCACATTAACTCTAAAATCACCATTAAATTGTGAATGGGGAATCAGGGTTAGGAAGTGTTTGGCATGTTGGATACATCACCAACATGTGTATTTACACAATGTTCTTCAGACTTACAGATGAGGAAGCAACTATGACACGTAATAACATGACCTATTTGAAGTGATTATTAGCAAGGGAAGACTTTCTGTGTATATGTTGGCCAGGAAAATGTGGCTTGTGTTGGATCTAAAACTTGGAGGAGTTAAAGGACAAGCCGTTATACATGTCAGCCCTGAGCCTGGCCCACTCAGACATCCTCTGGAAGGAGCTTTTCTCCCGGGTGAGGATGCGGGCGACTTTGTTCAGCTTTTCCTCGTTCTTCTCTAGGTAGCGGATGCCCTCCGCCTGCAGCAGGTTGAGCTTCTCATGCCGGTTCTCATCCAAAGAGACGTCTTCGCTCAAGTAGGGGTTGAAGCGGAAGTAAGTGTCTGGAGGGAGGAAAGCGTCGAGCATGGCGTGAACCTCTGGAGGGAGGAAGAGAGGTGAAAGTGAGGTTTCGCAAGAAGCAAAAATCATAAACACACAATTAACTCCCTAATAGCCTCAATATGTGCAAACCTCCAAAGACTGTGTTAAGAGCGAGAAGGGCACGCAAAGTCAAACCTCGTCTGTCAGCACTGTGACAGCATTACATGTGTCACTGAGTAAGCGCTCAGGGCTGAGAGTGTGAGGTAATACCACGTGAAAATGTCTGGCTTGTCTGTCATGGCTCTTTTCATCTGCCTTGCATGAGCGATTTAAAATCAACAAAATACAAATGCATACAAACAGGCAGCGGGTAACAAATCTGTGTAAATATGCCTGAAGGATGCAAAAAGGTGACTGTGATTTTTTTCTGTCTGTGTTCCCACACTAGCTTAGGAAGCCAAACATGGATATCAGTCAAATTAGCTGCCTCTACGGCTGTGCAAAACTCAACACGGAGTCATTTATCTGGGGGTTATTTGGAGAGTTTAGGGAGTTTTACTTCCTTTACTTTAATAGCCAATGTGCTCTTTGTGTGTGGTTTAGTTTTTGACTTTTGGGTAAGGTCAGAGAAGACAGACAGTAACTAGAAGAGTGAGTAGGAGCACGACATACAGCTACCAGCCAGGAGTCGAGCCGGTTCTGCTGCCTGTTTGGTACGTGCCCCGACCCCTTGGTTATCGGGTCGCCCCCAGAGTACTGTGTTACATTATTGCATTCTGAAAAGTTATGCACTGAAAACTTAAAGTAAGATAAATGCAACCACAAAAACCCTGAGACAACCCCAGCTTACTCAAAATAGATAACGAATGTGCAGAGATAAAACTGGTGTTTCTGTCCTATTCTAAATGACTACCACTGTGCAGTTCCACACTTATCAGCTGAACAAGTTGGGGGACAACTCTTTAAAACTTACATATTTTCCTTCCACTGAAAGAATTTCCAGTTCAATAAATAATCAAACAGGCATTGACGGTCTGCAGTTGCACAAAATAATAATGTTACAGATTTAAGTCTTGGCTCTTCTCTTAGTGGAGAACAAATCAGTTTACACAGTGGCCTGGCACGTCATCTTCCCAGCGCTAGCTTCTTTCATCTTTTATCGCCACTGCCAGGTTTTGGAACCCCAAATAATCACACAGCGTCTCTAGAATTATTGTATTTCTGTCACAAAAGTCTTTGCTGCACCTCACAAAACATCCATGAGTTCGAAAACAGATTGCAAACCAGCATTTATTATTCTGCCTCGAGGACTCTCTTAGCATCCTAGTGTGGAAGCGAACAGGTTACATGCACTGCATTTCAGTGTCATCACAAAGATTTTGTTAGAGGTAATGAGCACACAGCTGTTTTATTAGATCTCTGCATAGATGTGACTGGATCATTTATATTTTTAACAAAGCTGAAGAACACTGTTAAATCAAAATCAGCCTTTTACTGTTCCACAACAGCAATATTTGTATCTAAAACTCGATTAGATCAGCCTTATCTGACCACAACAACAAACCTGAGCCCCACTGATATACCCAAGACAAAGTCGGAGGCTTGCGAACACTAAGCTTTTGAAAAAAGAGGAAATCTGTGATAAATACTCTTGCTAATCTGCTGTTTCTAAATAACAAAGCCCGTTGGAGAGCTGGGGGAGAGCTTAATCCCAAATACAGGAGGAACAAGTGCAGAGAAGCATCTAGGTCACACTCTGCACCACAGCAGCAACAGGGAGGGGACCGAGCCAAATTTAGGCACAGCAGAAGTGCCCATGGCTAGAGGTGATAAGGAGAAGAAGAGGTTGCCACTACACAGGGCCACAATGGGACGTATCCAGAACAAAGTCAACTTGTGGTGCGGTGTTTTCTACACTGATGACAGCCAAACCCAATTCCTTTGCTTGGAGAGGATACCGAAACTGGGAGCCTTTGTACATTTCAATTGTAATGTTCAGATGTGGACAAAATCACCTAAAAGTACCGAAATTTTAATATTCCATCCATCCATCCATCCGTCCGTACACTGTCTGGCTTCTCCTTGTTGGCAAGTTTCATCTTTTCACCGTCTCTCTGTTGATACAGTTTGGCTGCGTTTGACATATCAACTAGTGAGTCAGTATTTTTCACCAATTTCGACAGAAAAAAAAATTTGTCCTGCTCTTGACAGTGGGCCAGTGGTCTCTTGTTGCTTTGAAAGCCGACACAGAAAATGTTAAGCGCCAGGCTCTTTTACAGCCGACCCATTTTGCAGCAGGGTTTAAAAACCGTGATTAAAGGAGCTCTCCAGATGTTTAGTGTCGCAGCTCCACTACAAAGTTAGCGCACTGATAAGAGGCAGATTACAAAAGAAATGATCAAAATTGGAGCGGTTTGTAGTTTTCAATTGAAAAATCTTCAAGGTCATTTTTACTCGACGTTATTAAAGCCTCTGTGAGAGTCACAGACGACGGTATTCAACTGTTTTGACAGGAGCATTTGTGCCAACCTTGATGAGTAAACTGACCACGTGTAAAATTTGTTGTATTAGATTAGTTTATAGCATTTTGTACCCATTGTGGAGCTAGAGTAGAGTAGGATGACTTATTTATTTTCAGGCCTGCGTTAAATAATTAAAAGATAAATAAATATAATACTAGAAGAACAATTCAGTTTGCCATTTTGAACAGTAATAAGGAATTGCAAACTGAATTCACCTTCTTATACTCAAATTTGAGGCGGCTCACTGGACTTCTCTGACAAGTCAGAAATTGAGCAAGCATAACATTCAGCCACTAAAACTAAGCTATCTGTTCAGGAATGCAATTAAATAACTATAATTTGACATCTTAATCAGGAAACAATAATGTACTTCACTACTTCTTCTGTTTTGTGTAAAACAGTAAATTTGAAAATTAATGGATAACAATAATAATTATATTTTAGCATTTAAAAAAATATATCATTTTTAATAAAGAGCTTCTACATACTGATGTATTAACCATTACAGAAACATAAAAAATGATTTTGGTAATGACTAATGCTGTTCAATTTAGGGCAGCTGTGGCATAAACCTCACACTGGTAAAACATTTGTTAAGCCCTGTATATTCAGTCTAACAACACTGCGAAACACTGAAAAGTCATTTCTACGTACCACCTTTAACATTTTGTAGCGTCACTTACCCTCAGTGTCTGTGGCGCTGCTGATGACGTTGGTGAGTTTGGTTTTGAGGCTCGTGTACGAGGTGCTGTTCTTGCTGGGCGTTTCGAAGCGGCCCGTACCGAGTGAGACCACACACTCCAAGGGCGTATCGGGCCACAAACACTTACACTCATGGACAGCGAGTGCGGTGGGGTTGTTAATCAACAGACCTCCATCCTGTGCACAAAACAGAAGAAGTGCAACGTTAGAGAGCCCATTTACAGGCTGTGAATGGTGTTTCCATGCCAAGACCACAGTCAGCGAAGCCAATTAATTGGAGTTTGAAACCCAAAAGCCTTTCATGGATTTTAACAGTCAATAGATGAAATTTTTGAAGAACATCTGACAAAATCAAAAGAGCTAATCAATGTGCAGTTCTAGAGATGCTTGTACGACTACAAAGCACACAGCGAAGTTGTTGTTTCCCCCCCCCCTTCAATTTCTCCTTCTCTCAGAGTTTCAGTCAGGCTGGCTTTGATATCGAACAACCGCCCAGGAGTGCTTTTGCTTTGGATCCATATTGTACCCAAGGCAGTGGGGGAGAAAGTGGAGAGGCTGTGGGGATTGTTGAATAGGCATGAGGCTGAGGGGCCGCGGGGCTGCGGGCTGGCAGCAGGATCAAACACACAGGGGCCAGTCCTCATTAAAGAGGCCAGGCTGGGGGGTGGGAGCCGCAGGGCCCCCAGTGTCTTGGGACACGCTGGAGGAAAGATCGCTTGTTTATGTGACAGTGTGTACGTGCGTGTTTGATCGAGAACTCACGCTTGGTTAGAGTCAGTGTATATAATAATGTGGGTGTTTCTGACAGCGTATGTCACATGGATTCTCACTGAGCCTCGGGGAGGGGAGGGAACATCTCATCTTTCCAGCACACTCCAACACTGTTGCAGCCTAATGACAATTCTGTACAGATCTGTGAGAGTTCAGAGTGTGATGGGGAATATGAGGGCTGCCTGCAGAGCCAAAGGTCTGCTCATCATCTGGGGAGTTGGACTGAGAAATTGTGTCGCCAGTCCAAATACCAGGAAAATAAAATTGCAAAGGCCACTGGCTATTGTAGTTAGAATGGGGGCACAGCATTAAGTAATAGCTCCCTTGATAGCAGATGCTTTGTGAAAGACTTAGCATAAAAGCTCCCTATGAAAACCAAAAGTGACACTGTGACAGGCCACTAAAGAGAAAGAATTCAGTATTAGATTACAGTCAGCCAGACTTAGAGTCTACAGAAACACCTGCAGCTCTGCTAAAGAGCCCATATGATGCACATATACAGGTTTATAATTAGATTTTTGAGGTCTACTACAATTTATTTACATGCTTTTCATTCTTTCTCTGCCTGAAATGCTCCGTTTTAGCTCCTGTTTCTTTAAGGCACTCTCCTGAAAAACCCTGTTTGCCGTAACTGGTCAGTCAGTCCAATAAAATCAAGGTACTGTTGGTTACATACCAAACAGGAGATCTATGAATACAGACAGAGACACATGGCCCTAGCAGAAGTGGTTCTAGTGAGGAATTAATGGCAGACCACTGGAGAGCGTGCCAAACTAGCCGCTAGGCAGGTGTTATGCAAATGCATGACATGCTGACAGAAATAAGTAACAGAAAAAAAGTGTGGACTTCAAACAAAGTGTCTCAGGTAGGTCAAGAGCAGTGTTTTCTTTGGCATAGACTGGAGCTGTGTAAGTTTGCAAACCTTTTACATGCAGAACAAATGACAACACACTTACAGAAAGTATAGGATTGACTTTGGCACAGCAGTTGTTGGATTAATTTCTACAATTACAAAGTTAAAATCCTCACAAAACACTGCAAACATACCCGGATTTAGCAGGTATACGGTTTAAGGTCTGTGTATTATCTGTTGATTCTGTGATTTAATTCAAACATGAAATCACTGTTTATTTATTGCTTCAAAGTTACTGTCCTTCTACGCGTAAAATAAGTAAAATGAAGTCATATTTCTATCTGTCTGTTTTGTAGTACTTTTATTCTCCATGTGCAAAAATAACCAATGCACACACTGAGTGGGAGTGCCCAGAGAAAAAAAAAAACCCAGACTACAATCATGCATTTTAATGATTTTCAAAGAATTAGTGTTTAAACCGTATCTGATGCCACAATGTAAACAAGTTGTTAATTGCTAATAATAAAATCTTATACAAACAAAGCGCTCATGGGGATCAGTGAAATTTGGTTATGATCTAAAGTAGTGGACGAGCACAGCAACAGTTAGTATCTCAACGAAGAAATTAACTGTATTTTCATTTTGGGTATTTTTTTTTAAAGGGAGAATGCCATAATTCTCTGATTCTCGCCTGCAAATATGTGTATGTTCTGTTTTTGTAGCAAAGGGAATATCTTTTTAAATGTTCCTTAGACAACACAAGGCATATGAACACATTTTGCGGACATTTTACAGAAAAAAAAAATCTACTAATTGAAAAAAAACAAAAAAAAATAACAAGCTAAAACCCAAAATCTCTGACCTGATAATAGCTGCAGTTTAAAAAGTTAATACGAATCACAAAAAGTCCTAAATTTCATCCTGATGGGAACAAGATTCTACCACATTTTGCGCCAATCCAGCCAGTCAATATTCCCCCTAGTACATAAAAACCTTGACCTGCAGTTGGTGCGAGAGTAAATGTCAAGGCTTTACCATAGTCGTTACAATTCATCCTCTGGGCATGAAGAATATGTTACAAAATCCCACGGCAATACATGAAAATAGAATCAGAAATATTAATGTCATGGTGGAACAGGAGGAAATGTCAAGGGGTTTTAAGTAGTCAGTATAAAATCGCATAATAATGCTTTCTGCAGTTAATAAAATATCTGTGTATGGACCAAAGTGTTGAACTGATCAGCAGACGCTACCATCCATTAGCTAAAAAGACAGAAATGTGACATTGTCTCCAGTGCTTCTGAGTAACAATTACTGATCTGATCTGAACTCTATAAGATGAGACAAGTAATCTATTATGATACTGTACTGTATGAATCATCTATGAATCAGCCTTAGTGTTAGTTATTCGGATCATTTCCTGTGAGAGTCAGAGAGACACCATGTGACTGGCTGAGATGGACGCCACACAAAGAGGGCTTCAGCACGGTGGAACTGCTGAGGTAGCCATTTGTCCAAAGTGCGTCATTATGAGCCGGTAGGGTGTCTGGCAGACCAAAAAAAAAAAGAATCACAGAAAAAGGGAGAAACTGCCTGGACTGGATGTGCTCCTAATAGAGACTTAGAGCTACTTGCTGCAGCGGGCACCAGACGAACCCAGCTGGAAACAAAACAACTAAGCAGTTTTCTTATCACTCACACCACTGTGAGAGGCTCCATTTTCTGAACTCAGGGACAATTATGGCAACAGTCTGAGTCCAGTTATGGGTCCTTTGTGCTAATAGCTGGGGGGCAAGTTTCACAGGCACAGTGGCCGGCCTTGCACACAGTGCCAAGGCATGCAACATTAGAAGCCAACTGCGCAATGGTCTTGCGAGCAAGGGGCTGAATGCTGTAACTTGTCTCCATTTCAGTGCACCTGCTTGGGCAATTCAGAGCGGGTGAACATAGTCACAGCCTGTAAGGAAAGTCTGGGTTTTGAGACTGAAAACAGTCTGTGGCGCCACTGGAAGACTGGTAGGTTTTCTTTGTGTGTGTGTGTGGCACTTGATTTTTACAACAATAAATAATTTAGATAATCTTTTCCATCTGTCATCTGTCTCACGAACAAACAGAAACGGGGATGGTACCTGGCTCTACCTGCAGTGAAAACAGCTTGGCAGATGCTGAAGCAGCACTGGTGGTACACCGGCTCTTTAAAGCTGCTTTCCAGTGACACATCCATGCTTGGCCCACAGCCACATTCTCACACAAGGGTTTCTTGAGGCCAGCGCATATTTGGATGAGGAGTTAAGTTAGAAACAATGATCTGCTTTGGACAAACTGCAAATGAGCTTTGCATACCGATTTGGCCCAACTCGAGCTGCCTGTCAAACATGCAGCATGATGCGAAGCAAAGGTCACTTCCATTTATAAGGATTTAGAGCTGTAATGCCGCTCATACTCGAAATGACTCAATCTCGCTGTGAAAAGACATGCCATGTGTCAACAGATAAGTGTCCTGAGAGGGTACATGGCTGTCAGTTCTAGCCATCTGACCAAGGTTTAACCCCTCTGAGGGTTAAACTTCCATCAGATACAAGGAAATGCCAACTTTGAATTCTGGCTTCCTGAAAGGCTTAATGATTTCCTTTGACAGCGTTTCTTGATTCCGGTAGAAGCCGTTAGTTAATACGCCAGAGGATCGGCCTCGCCTTTGCCCTTCAGGCTCTAATGGCTGATTCACAAATCAGTCTCTCAATTTCCTATATGCAAACAAAGCAAGTTTTCAGCTAATTAGAGCTCCTACACCTAGGAGACCATGATTCACTTCTTCAGACAGGCAATTAAACTGAAATAAGACTTTAAAAAGACACTGTTCTTTCTGTGTATTCTGAAATAAAATTACTCTGGTAATATGAGCGGTGTAACATAAACAAAATTAAGACATGCATTGGTTTATATAAATTACTGTGTGGAATTCTTCCACTGTCATTAACTTTTGGGAGCTTATCTTCATTGTGCCAATTTAAGCGGTCTTAGAGGAGGAGCGCTGATTTGAATAGGGAAGCGGTGCTATCGTCAGGATCAGTAAAAGTCATTTCACGCCCCAATGTATGTCAGCTCCCATTAGCCGGGACAGCAAACTTCATCCTCTTCATTCAGCCTGTGTGCCTCTGTATCTCGCTCCCTCTCCAACCCGTGGCTAAACTTCAATGCTTGTTTTTGTTCAGGTCATTATGAGCGGCCACAACACAGAAAGAGAGGAGAGCGCTTGCTTAAATCTAAATGAGGTGAGCCTTGCATCTGGTCTAGCATTCACATCACAGCTCCAACGAGCAGCTGTAGTCATTATGCTTTCTTCTTTGACTTCTTTGACAGGCCTGGACTGAGGGGCACTGAGCTCTGTCATGATTTATTGTGAAGCTCTGCCAATGAGGCTCCCTTCTTTCAAATGATTAATTAGGGAAGCATTACATAAGACATGGACATCTGATTATCTCTGTCACAATGACCAGAGTGTTTTCCAGAGCTGGTCATTGAATTGATAAGCAGATAATTAGGCTGCTATAAA